CCAGCTCACACATCCCTGCCAGGCTCCGCATCTGCCTGCTCACTTGCAGCCGCCCCCTGGCTTCCCCCCTCAGTAACTACTCAGCAGCTCTCTATGGGGAGGGGAGGCAATGGGGAGTAGGGAGGCTAAGGAGCTGCCAGGCAGCCATAGGGGTCGTGCAGACCCATTCCAGGAACACTGGGAGTTGCCAGGCCCACCCACCCCTATCCCATGGCTGTCTGGCTGTTCCCCATCCACTCAGTCCCCTCTTCCCATGGCTGTCCCTTCCCTTGGGAGGAGCTATAGAGCAGCCTTTGGGCCCAGCAAGGGTAGCTTGGCGGGGAAGGGAGCCTGGGAGCAGACAGAAAGGGTGAATCCCCACTTCCTGTTACTTAGCTTCAGCCCCAGTGCCAGCCAGATGGAGCCTGTAGCACAGCTCGAGCCCCAGTACCCCCTTCCCACAGCCACTGCCCACCTTCTCCTGAGGAGAGCTGGTGGGCAGCCATGGGGGCATGGCAGGGGCAGCATGGGCTTGATCTAGGCATGCAGGTTGCTGCTGAGCCCACCCATCTCCCATGCTGCGGCTACCCAGCAGCTCCCCGTCCAACTACTCTAACTCTTAGTGCTTGTTTATGCCTGCATTTTAAAGGCCTTTAATATGATTTAATTGTAATGTGTAACCTCACTCTTTGTGAAGACTTGAACTGGTATTGGCAGTTCTCAAAGGACCAGTTCTGTTAATCACTCAGAAGTTTGGATTCTTTGCCAAACTTCTTGCATTTGCAAAAATTGTATTAGTAAGAACATAAGAAGTGCTGTCACTGGATCAGAACAACGGTCCATCTAGCCCAGTACTGCAACAATGGCAGGGGTAGGTGCTGTAGAGGGAGAGCATATGAGGGTACATATAGGGTGATCTATCCCCTGTTCATTACCCTCCACCATCATTGATTTAGGAATGCTAGAGGATACATCATAATGCATTCTTAGTAATCTTGTGAAGGAAGTCTCTGACATTTATGCTTCTGATGAAGCTACAAATACAGTAAACTGCCTCATAATTGGTGTTTGTCAATTTTTCTCTTCACTGGGTCTAAATAGTTCAAAGGTGCATGAAACTCAAAGAGTAATTGTGATGATGGGTGAGGACAAGGACAAGAGAAGTAGTCATTTATTCCAAATATTTAAAGATTTGGTTCTGGGGTTTTTTTTCTGTTCAAACAAAGCATCTCAGCCTTCTGGATGTAATCAACATCAAGGAATCCCTTTAGGTTAGCCTTGGCTAAACTCTTTCATGACACTCATTTTCTATTGTGACCTTTACCTAAGTTGCTCACCATGTGCTATACTCATAATTCCCCTTCAGTGCTGTCAGTGTATGACTATGTAGAAATCCCGTTGTTCAGGATGCTTTCTTCTATCTGTTTAACCACTTTAGGGCTAATCTAGTTCAGACACCTAGATAACTTTCACCGGTAAACTACAGACCAGTCTTTTTCTTTCCTTATTACATCCAGTGTTTTCTTCCTTAGTACGAAAACTTTTACACAGAACTGAGCAAGGTTAAAACATGTAATTGCTTTTCTCTCTTCCACAGTATAACAACTTTAATCCCTTTTTTTCTCAGACAGAAATCTGGCTGTTTATTAAAAGTTAACTTTTTTGTGTGTTTTCTGCTGTTTTCTGCTGCAGCTTTTTGCACTGGCTGAGAGTCTGGGAGGATACGAAAGCCTAGCAGAGCACCCGTAAGTCATTCTGCATCCGTTAGAAGCAATTCATAAAATTTGTTTTACACACTATAAGGAAAAAAATAGCTCCTGTTGAATTTTATGGCCATTTTGAAAACTTACAAAAGTTGTATGGTTTCATTTTGTGCCGAAGTTCCATGGAGTTAACATTTTATATAGTGTAGCTTTCTTATAGATAGTCAAGAAATGGGGAAAAAATAAGATAATGCAAAGACTTTTCTGGTGCAGGTGAGAGATGAATTCTTTATACCCATTCAGTCAGAATAGAGGTGAAGTGACCCTGAAATCCCTAGTTCTGCAAAGGGAAGATTCTACCACAAGGCTGCTTTCTGAGGACACTTTTGTAAGCCGTGGTTATGCTGGGAGTTAGGGCATAAAACAGGAAAAGAGTGACACAGTTCAGAACCAGCTGTACTTCTCTCCATTATTCTGCTTCCTTCTCTCCACTATTTTGCTGTACCCCCTCTAGGTCTTAAGCATTTACTTCTTTGGGGCGAATCCTGCATTTAGATCAAATCCTGGATATACCAACCATGATTGCTCAGCAGGTCCAACTGCATTCAGCTGTCTGCAGTTTTTCCTAGTAGGTTCTGTGACCAATGGCAGTACAGTGATTCCAGTAGGAACACGGCATGGCATAAGATAAGAGGATGTTTTTATCTCTTACCAGAAGTGAATTGTTCCTTATTCTTTCAAATATTTGTGGAGAGAGATGAATATAATGGAAAGTCCCTGCCTTTTTAGGTGTATTTCTTGATAGACCTGAAAGCACAAACACAGAGTACAACCCAGTCAAGCTAAGTACTCAAGTTATTACCAGAAGCTCCAAATGCATCACTAGGGAGAATAAGTGCAGAGATTCTGTGCAGTGGAATAGCCTAAAGGGTAGGTAGCCCTTGGAGCCTGTAGTAACTGACATGGACCTTCAGGGGTCAGGAGAATGGGAAGAAGGCAAAGATGCTCGAAGCTGTCTTAGCCTTCCCTCCTGTTGGGGAACAAGTTCTATGCTAGTTTTTTGAGTTTCACCCAAAGAGTCTTCAGTCTCTTCTTCTTTTATCTTGGACTTCTCAACTAGATTAGTAAAATGGTGGGCAGAGTCAAAAAAAGAATATGATCTTCATTGTACCATTGTCTCATGGTGACTTTTGGTGGTAGCAATTAGATCAACTAGACATTTTAGATCAGGGTTGTCAGCTTTTTGGGGCAGAGTGCCAAAAATACCTGCAACCTTGACTTGTAAGATGTTGGCATGTCAGGGGCAGAAGGTGGGGAAGCTGCAAAGGGCCTGATCCTTGTTGTAGTAACACAGCCCTGGCCCCTTCCCTGACGTGCAAGTGCCAAGCAAAAATACCTTCATGTGCCATGCTCTGGCATGAGTGCCAGGGGTTGCCTACCCTTGATTTAGACTCTGTTAACCCCAGAAATGTTTTCCAGTGCTTTCCACATTCTTGTTAATGGCTTTTTTGCCTCACTGTATGGTGTTCTGGTTTGTTTTAAGAGTGAACCTGAAACCCAAGTAGAATAATGGATCAGATAATGATGCTGTACAAGATAAACTTACTGTACATATTCTTCAGTCTTACTACGGTACTGCTATTCTAATTGCTTACACAAGAGGGCATAGTTGGCACACTAAACTAAATTGCACCTGTTGTTCATATTAAGTAAGTTAAGTTTGTTTTGTATATAACAATATTTCATTGTTTATGCCCAAGATGGTCTGACTCAAGCTATAGATTTACAAATTAAAATAGCCATTAAACTTCTGAGACCTGTACCCCTCTGCTTAGACTACAGAATCATTGTAGCCAGCAATGAAAATAAACTTTATTTTGTTGTATTGATTTCTATCCACTCTGTACATCATATTGGTAGTAACCATTGTTTTCCCAAGCAGACAATAAACAACATATTTAAAAAAAATTAAAATGTGAAAATTTTCATTTACATTTCTTTTAATTATATTTGAAATAATGACAACCAGTGTTAATGGTTTTTTATAATTTATCAGAACCATTTATAACAGTAAGCAGCTAATATTTGTTGCTGAAGTTTTAAAGGAGGTGAAACCACTGAATGGATGAGCATGTGGAACCAGAGTTTGTTGAAATACTGGTACTAATTTGACCTTTGACCACAGTATTCTTTTCTGTACGTACACAGAGAATTATTTTCTCCATTTCAAGTTAGTTCATTCAAACTTGACTGAGTTGAAAAAGTATGAAAATGTTTTTTATCCTAAATGATGAATAAATGCTATGCATAAGAGAATATAATCTACTAGTCCTAAAATCTTGAAAGACCTGGTAACTCTCAGTTAAGCTTATTACTTAGAGAGACTGCTCCCTTTGTTTAATTAAACTGTTTTAAATATAAAATATCCTTTCACATACTTTTATTTCTTACACAATCGGGACATTTAAGGTAGTTGTATTTAAGGAATAGGTATTATATTCTGTTTGTGCATTTTTATTTACTTCCAATTTCATTCCAAATAAAGCTTGACACCTAAAGTAAAAAAAAAATCCTCATCTAGTAAAAAAGAAATGTCTTTCATTATTTCCTAATGTTAAAAAAAATTAAAAATTATAATCTGAGTAAATGTTAAATATGTAGTAACTTTAAAAAGTGAATAGATACACTGTGTCCTAGCAAGAAGTGCTAAATTTTAATGTAAAGACTCTGAGTACAAATCTGCATGTTTTAATGATTACCAGTTACCAAAAATAAACTTGTCTTGAGAACAAGAACTGAAAAGTAAAAAAAGGAAACAAGATTAAAATAAATGTTTGATCAAAATTTCCTGCTTATTGATTTAATGCATTAGAATCACTTCCTCTGTAAGTAAGAATAGTATCTGGATCTACTACTTCTAAAATTTTACCAGTTACATTAAAGTGGAAGCTACCTTTTGAATAGATAGCTTTTTAAAGACAAACCTTCATCAAATATTACCCCTTTGAATTTCTCAAATACATTTTTTGAAAGAAAACAGACATCATATTTTCTTATGTAATATTATATTTTTTCTATGTAATAATAAAAAGGGTATTGGAAGAAATATGTTTAGGCCCTATCGCTAGAAAAAGGGGTAAAATTCTAAAAGAATTTTATTTACCAGTTATTTATCAGTCAGAAAATATTGTGCCAGGTCATCTGATGCTGGTAATCATTGACTTCATTGGAACCATGCAGGTGTACATTAGTTGAACATCTGGACTTACGATTAAGTAGAGAATATTGCAAAATTTGCTGTAGAGTCATTATGACATTCTTAATTCTACAAATGTGACAGATAACTGATTTGTCTGGTCTTTATGAAGGCAAGGGTTAAATAGAAAGACTTTTTTTTTTTCTTTTAGGGCTGTCATGACTCATGCTGCAGTTTCTAAAGAGGATAGAGACGCTCTTGGAATCACTGATACTTTAATTCGTTTATCAGTTGGTTTGGAGGATAAAGAGGATCTACTAGAAGATCTGGATCAAGCTTTGACAGCAGCAGTAAGTCATGCATCAGAGCTTTCTGAAAGTTAAAAAAACCCCCCAAAAATCCCTTCCACTGTATTTGTGAAATAAAGTTACTCTGTCAGGCCCCCTGTACAGGTAAAGGTGCAGTGGGATCTATTGTGCAATGCACATAATTGCACCTCCTGCCATGCCTCGTATGTATGGCAGGAGGCATGATTATAGAATTGCACATTAGATCCTACTACACATTATTGCCTGATCCTGGCCCCCCCTCCTGTACTGGCAAGAAGCAAGTATCCACAGCTGGGAGCCCCCTCAGCCATGATCTCCCAGCCCTGAAGGCACGTGAAGACTAGGAGATTGCAGCCAGCACCAGGGGTTTCATGCACCCCCTGAGGCTGGGAGATTGCAGCTGGTGTGCTCTTCCAACCCTAGGGGCTTCATGCACTGGGTTCCAGGACCAGGAGGCACACTGCCTGGAACCAGAATTTGCAGCTGTGGGACTCTAGGTCTTGGCAGCTGAGGGGTGCTGCCAGGACCCAGAGATGGTAGCTGCTGGGGCTGAGAGTCCCCTTCGTTGTGGGACTCCCAGCCTCCATTGGGCATGGTGCACCCCTGAGGCTAGGAGCCCTGCCAACCACAAGAGAGACCCTGCTACACTTGCAAATTAAAGCTTTGTAGCTACCAGCTGTAAAATTAGTATACATTTTTTAGGTCTAACTTTAAAGCTAGTTGGAGTTTTCTATGGCATGATAAGTACTTTGCATGGGTAGCTGTTCTTAAGGTAACGGTGCAGTTAACCAGTTAGTTATATGATACCTGTAACATGTAGAGGGGGCCTCAGATAATTAAAAAAAAATATAGCAGGTGTTTAGCACTGTCCTACTGTCTCTCATTCACTTACTACATTCAATGTATTTTAAAAATGATGAACTTTAGTTTTAAATACTGATTGGCATTCTCCAAACAATAAGGTTGCCCACATTTGCCATTTAAAAATGTGTACATGTTGATTTCTAATGCATATATGTGGATTTCTTAGACTCTGACAATAACAGAACTGACGGGTGTGTTCATTTGGTGACTGGTGATTTGATTGATAGTTTTGGCAGTGGAATGCGGCACAGAAATGTACGTACTTTTTAAGAAGGAAGATAGCTGTTATTTTCAAAGCAGATAAAAATACTTAAACCTTTGCTTAAATTCAGGAAACAATTATTAACTTTTTATTCTGGTAGGTTTTTAAGATTGTTACTTTAGTCTTAAATTCAAATTGTATGTACTCATTCTCTCTTGACAATTGATTAAAATTATTTCATGCTTATAGTGGATAAAATGATGTTACATTTAAATCTTCCTTTTTCAAGATGTGTCCTTTAAAAAACAGTAAGAATTGATCAATGTAACCTGCTCCTCCTGTGGTTTTACACAAACATTTATAGTGGCTTTTGGATAGGTTGGTACTGTGATTAGTACCGCCTCTCAAAAAATATAATAGCATTAGTGCCTTTTACAAGCTTTCGTACTCAAGTGAACAGAAACATAAATGAATAATCTTAAGTGGAGCATTCAACTCTGATATGGACCATCAATCTATGTAAAAACAAAGTAGTAGTATGATGTCCTGTTCTTGCATTTGAATGTTGGCATCATGGTACTTTAGCTATATTCTTTGTTTATGACATGCTGGCTCCTGGCAGACATTACACTTAAGACATGAATATCTAGTTAATCACATCTTAAGTAGTAACCTGGCCACACATTCATGTAGTTAGTGGCATGATAACAGGAAGTAAGCTGTAGTTATTACAAAACATATGTATAATCATTTTGTGGCTGGTTCCCATCACACCTTAAATTGAACATGTAGTGAGCGGTGATCAGCTTACTGGTGCTCTGAGCCAGGCGCAGTGGGTACCCAGCTTGCTATTTGCTGGTGCAGGAGGAGCCTGGGCTCATGATCTCGAGTTCTCCCAGTACCAGCTACAGGATGTGATTGGGATCTGATCCCCAATCCCACAGTTGTGCCTCCTACAGTGCACATGTAGCATGGCAGGAGGCACAATAGTTAGGATTGCAGATCAGATCCCACCTCTGTCAGGGTCCTCTGTTACAACACAGGTACATCAGGGCAGAATACTATGCTTGGATAGTTCTCTGCTACTACACTGGATATCTCTCCCCTCTCGTCTTTCAAGAACGGACAGATGGTTCTCTCCTTTTGTCTGTTAAGGACAGCTGACTTTCCAATAGTTAGATTCTATACATGAAAAATTATAATAGATTTATAATTTTTCATGTAAAGAATCTAACTGTTGGAGGGCTGTCTTAAATTTGAAGATGTCTTGGATTCAGATAGATGTGATAATTGGTTAATGGCATAGTATGTCTAGGAGTTGATTTCTGAAAGATGTTGAGCACCAACAACATGGATATCAGTGGAAGTTCAGAAAATTCAGCCATCTTCAGAATCAGGTTAATAATTAGTTTTTGTAGGCCTGGACCTGAACATTTAAGTGAGTGGAAAGACTTCTACTGATTTAACTTCTCTATGGGCCTGAACTGATCCAAAGTCTATTTAAGTAGCCTTCTTAAGTTAATACAAATCCAGTAGCAGCATGGACAGGACCAGACTTTATAGCACTGCTTTACATCTTGTACCCTGTGTTCACTGCAGCATGATGGCAATGGTTTCTACACTGTAGAAAGAGTATCAAATGTGTGTGTGTGTGTGTATATAGATATATAGACATATAGGCAGATAGATAGATCTGAGCTTCAAACTGCTGGAATGGATTTATAGTGATATTGCATTGCTTTACAACAAACATATTCTCTCTAAAATAAGTATACTGTACATGGTGATTTGAAAAATCAGCCAAAATTAAAATATTTCTATTTCTAACAGCAGGCAAGCAACTGTGAGATCATTTGCAGATGTCAGGGGGAAGGTATAAATAATACAATGCAATGGAATGTATAAATAATGCAATGGAAATGTGTGGCCAACATATCTTCTGTGCTAAAATAAACAGCTTTGTAACAGAGAGTGGGCACAATATGATTATGTTGTTCATGTTTTCTGATATTACAGTTCCCAGAGTACACTGTTCGCAACTAGAAGTCAGAAGTTGGAACACCACACAGCTAAAATACTCAGAGAAGATTAAATGAAAAGCCAAACTGCTGATGAGTTTCTTCAGATTTGCCTTTGAAAAATGAACCCTATCTTAACCTTAATTGAATCTAGGCAGTTTTCATTTGTGCCTTTAGCCTCACTTTCCAAAGGGATTCAATAAGGGTTGTGTACTGGTGCACAAAACGACTTTCAGATATGTTATTCTCATGTGATGTTATCATCCTTTGCTCTTGTGACTTGGCTATACTTGAGGGAAGCTATGATGTACACTCAGGAATAGTGTCTCTCTCCCATTGAGGTTAAAAACTGGTGTTTATTATGCTGTACATGATAAATGTGTATCATGTTAGAGGATGCTGCTTTCGGCTGGTGCATCCTTTTTCTTTCTTTTACCAGGATTCTGCAGGGTTTTCTTTTTTTTTTTTTTATCATCACATTTACCTCTAACCCTGAAGGTATATTTGGAATGCTGCTTGCTCTAACTCAGATTCTTTTGAATGACAACCTCAAATGTGGTTTGACTTTACTTTTTTTCCTCTAAATATTTTGTGCAATATTGAAAATAAAGCAAAATCAGATGCCTAATTCTGCAGAAAACTTAATGACATTTTTTGTAAGTTTACTTAATTTTGTTTAAATGCTTTAGTTGATATTTTGAAAATTCCATTATGCATTTAATTATAAGGTTTTTTTTTCTGGTTCTGTAGCTAATTTTATGAGCCTTAGTCCTATGTTTGAAATCTAAAGCAAAAGGGATTGGCTGAAACACCTATTTTAAATTCTCTCATGAATTAAAATGAAATGTATTACAATTTGTTATACAACTGATGATTTTGATATAAGAAAATGAGTTTGTTTTTAAACTGTCACCTTTTACTTACATGAAGGTATATGTTCACATGAATAAAGGTTTTCTGCATTGGGTCCATTGTTTGAAGTTTGTAGATTTAGGAGGTATGTGTGCTCAAATATCATCTACTCTCTTAACATAGATATTGAAACAAGAGTTCAGATCCATAGTTATAATTGAAAAGCTGAATTTCGAACACCCTTCAACACAAGTAATCCAGTAAAGACACAGACAGGTTGTATTGATAAAGTAACAGCATTGAGTCTGAAAGTTTCAGTGGACCATTTTACCCTGAGAAAATACTTCAGTCTTAATTCTTGCTTTGTCAATCTGGAATTCGTGTTATTGAATATTTGAATTCCTAAAGTAGATAATGAAGGGAAAAATGGGGCATTAGTCGCAAACATGTTGATGTTTTTAAAAGTGTAGCTTTCTCAAACCTAAAGATGCCCCTTTTTAGTAAATAAGGGGTATTTAATCAAGTTTAGTTCTTTGGCCTTTTAAAACACCATCACTTTTTATTTGTAATCCAGAATTGGATTACAGTGTTCTCTGTGTATTGTAACTGGAATGTTTTAGTAAATAAAGCAACATCAAAACCAGCTGTGTGGAGTGTTTTTTTTGTAAATAGCTTTAAGCCATTGCTACTAATAACAATCTAAAAATGAATATAGGATGCTCTGCTCCCATTGTTATTTTAGAATAATTCTAGCACCTGAGTTTTCACTATGGTTGGACAAACTATGGGGATTAGAATGAAGAAATTAAGATATGAGATAAAACTGGAAGGGTTTATTTGCTATGTGTTCCCGAATACTGAATTGTGAAGATGCATGAAACATGGTGAGCTTTATTGGCAGATTTGATTGTAGAAGATAGTTGTTTTTTTTAAGTAAAAGTCTAAACAGCCCATGCATGCACCATGACTTAGCAAACAGCCACAAAAATATTTTTTTTAAACCTTGTGAAGGAATTCCGGGAACATACTTATCACTTTCTGAGGCGGTATTCCTGGTTATAATCCACCAAAACTGCCTGTGGTATCTCAAGAGGTCAGGAAAGTACAAACTCTTCCCATTGCAAACACTTCAAACTTCACTTCCTGAAGTGTAAATACTTTGTGTTGCCAAAACACAATGGCATACCAGAAAGGAATGGAGATGAAAGAAAAGAAAATACTTCATTCATTCACCTCTAGGAGAAGGTACTATAGCCGATTCCTTCACAAGTTTCTTTACTTCTTGTAAAGGCAGTTTTGAAGATTGTTAAGGAATAATTACATTTTTTGTTGGTGGTGGTAATGGGGAGAGAGGCAGGCATAGAAAGGTTGATATAAATTTAAAAAAATATTTCCATGCCTCTGCTCAGCTCCTACAGCCTAGAATTTTACACTTCAGCAGCGCATCCAGATGAGCCCACGTGTGCCTCTTGCAGCATCTCAAACCCCTTTGAGATGCTGCAAGAGGCACATGCAGGAAGGAGAAAAGGTTCCCCGTGCTGCAAGTTTGCAGCACGGAGGCAAAACCAGACCCCTGGATATCCAGGGGTCAAAAAAAAAATGAAGTGAAAAAAAACGGGGCAGGGCACAGTCCTGAACCATGTCCTGAGGCAACCGGAAGCTGGGTCCTCCACAGAGATGCTCTGGCTGCCAGAGTGTCTCTCTGGTTGGCCCTCGCCCTGGTGCTGAAGCACGCTGCCTGCCCATGTAAAGCAGGCAGTGTGCCAGCTGCAGGGACCTAGACCCGGGCTCTGGTGCTGGTAAATAGGGTGTCAGGAGGGCTGGAGGAGGAGGGAACCATGGGGAGGGACCCCTAGATCCCTGCATCACACAGCTGCACCCCCTACCTGACCCCCAAGCCCTCCCCATCCCTGGCCTGCCTGGCCCCATTCCCCCCTGAACCCAATCCCATGTCCCATCCCCTGCCTTCCCCTCAAGTCCCCCGATCCCTTCCCCACCCCTGCCTGCTCCCCAAGCCCCCCGATCACTGTCCCCCCTATCCCAGCATCCATAGAAAGGAAGTTCTCCAGAGGGGGACACCGAGCAGAGCCCACCCGAGTCACATCCACTGGTCATCAAAATGTCTGAGCCGTACCGAATAAGCATTCTCATCTACCCGGTGGGGGATCAGGGCGATGAAATTCTTATGTCACTGCCCCTTTCAAATGCAGGAAAAAAGCCATATCCTAATGTGGTAGAGGCACTATCTCAACATTTTTGGGGTCAAAGAAATGTGATTTATGAATGAGATAGAGTCAATCTCCATAAACAGGAGCCTTTAAAACCTGTGGACAGCTTTATCACATCTTTGCATGCATTGGCTGAATAATGCCAATATGGGGAGCACAAGGAAGAACTAGTTAGGGACTGCTTAGTTGTGGGTCTTCATGATGCAGAGCTCTCATGAAGACTACAGTTGGACCCTGATTCAGCACTCCAGAAGGCTGTCACACAAGCCTGCCAATTAGAGTAGTTAAGTAGCAACAAAGGGAAATCAGAAGCCATTCCAAGCCCTATCAGACATTAGCTAATATCATAGTATCATAGTATTTAGGGTACATGTATAGTATTTAGGGTTGGAAGGGACATAAACAGATCATCAGGTTCAACCCCCTGCCCCGGGCAGCAACGGGTGCCAGGGTCATATCACCCCAGCCAAATATCTGTCCAGCCTCCTCTTGAAGACCCCCATATGGATGCAAGGCACACTTTTAAGAAACTACAACCAAAAATAAATAGAATTGATGTTAGAACAAAGGGAGTGGTCCCCCAGCATCCACAGCAACAACCAAGTGGGAAATGGTCCTAGTGCCACAGGTGATAAAATTCCTGGACATGGCCATGCTAAGTGTCCTGCTAAGGAAGAGATATATCGACAGTGTAAAAAGAAAGGTTACTACACTTTAGTTTGTTGATCAACTATGGGAATCCATGAAATCACAGAACAGGAATTAAAGGATTGTATTGTGTTGTTAGAAAAACTTACAGAGTCTTCATCAGACCCAGCAATAGAGATCAATGGACAATCATTTCCTTTTAAAATTGATACAGGAACAGCAGTTTCAGCTATACCTGATACTACAGCCAACATAGGGATGGGATCCTCCTTCCTTCTACTAGACGGTTATGGGGATCAGGTGACATTACCCTCAAAGTACTGGGATCCTTCAACACAAAAAATGACACTGAAGCAGGGAACTAGAGAATATAAGTTCTCTGGTGAATATAAGATATGCCTAAAAGCTGATGCAGTTCCATATGCATTAACTATACAGAGACCCTTTGCTGCTAACAGACAAAGTAAAAGAAGAAATAGCATGGATAGAAGAAATGGAAGTAATAAAACAGATTGCAGAACCTACCTCTAGGTGTTCTGGGATGGTGACTGTGCCAAAACCCAGTGGTAAGATTAGGATATGTGTTGACCTCACACAGTTGAAAAATATGTGCACCAAGAAAGACATAGTCTTCCTTCAGTAGAACACACCTTAGTTCAACTTGCCAGAGCCAAGATCTTCGCAAAATTGGATGCTGGAGTAGGATTCTGGCAGATTCCTCTATTTGTTGAATCATCCAAGCTAACAACTTTTATTATTTCATTTGGACAGTCCCAATGTAAATTGTTACCTTTTGGGATCTCATCATCTCCTGAATTCTTTCAGCTTCAGATGTCACAGATACTGGGTGGCTTAGAAGGTGTTCTTTGTCATGCTGATGACATTTTGGTTTTGGGGACCACCAAGGCACAACATGATACAAGACTGGATGCAGTACTTTGAAACTCCAGGAAGCTGGAGTTATGTTTAATGAAAAGTGTACTTTTGCTACTTCTCAGCTCATGTTTGTGTGACACTGGATTACACTACAAGGAATAAATAGATTGCACTACTTTACGGTCAGGGGTGCTACGTCATGGTCAGGGCGGCTAGGATCTGGAACCAACTTCCAAGAGAAGTGGTGCTGGCTCCTACCCTGGGGGTCTTTAAGAGGAGGCTAGATGTACACCTTGCTGGGGTCATTTGACCCCAGTACTCTTTCCTGCCATGGCAGGGGGTCGGGCTAGATGATCACTCAGGTCCCTTCCGACCCTAGAAAGTATGAAACTATGAATCCAACCAGATCCAGCAAAAGTCGCAGTTATTAAGGGGTTACCAGAACACAAGGAATTCTCAGAATTAAACACATTTTTAGGAATGGTCACATATTTGGACCATTTGTGCCAAACCTAGCAATAATAACAAAACCTTTAGGAGACCTTTTAAGTGACAAGAACATATGATTCTGGGGTCCACTACAGCAGTCGGCCTTAAATGAGATCAGATTGATACTCAGCTCATCCCTGATACTGGCCCAATACGATCTGTCACAAGAAGCATATTGCAGCAGACGCTTCATCGTATGGCCTCGAAAGAGTGTTACAACTATGTCAAGAAGCTAGCCATTGGGCCCCTATTACCTTTGTGTCAAGAGCACTTGCTCCACCTGAAACTCGATATGCAAAAATCGAAGAAAAAGAAGCACTATCAGTTACTTGGACATGTGAGTGAATCAGAACTTTCCTCATTGGCTTCACTTTTACTTTACAAATGGGTCATAAACCACTTGCATTCCCCATTAGGAGACAAACCTCTCAATCAACTTCCACCAAGAATTCAGAGATTTCACCTCCAAATGCTGGAATTTACCTAAATTATTATACACATTCCTGGAACAGTGGTATAGACAGTTGATACTCCTTCTAGGGCACCATTACAGGCACCGTTTTCTCTGGAAGAACTTCACAGTTTAGGTAGACCTTACTGCAGAGGGGGATACCCATATCTGTTTAATTAAAGATAAGGATCCAAGAAGCTCAAGACCCTTTCTGTCAAAAGATAAATGAGTACTGCTTAGAAGGATGGCATCAAGTAAGAGTCAAAGACTGTGAGCTGGCGAGGTACCAACGAGAGAAACTCAATCTCCATGTTCTCAGGGGTTTAGTCGTGTTCCACAACAGAGTAGTGATACCTTCTGCTCTATGCCAGGAGTTCGTAGAGAAGATAAATGAAACTCATCAGAGTACTACAAGATGTCAAGCTAGGGCTTGTCAGACAGTTTGGTGGCCCTCTGCCAGTGATGACATTCAGAACTGCGTGGCTAGGTGTAAGGTTTGTGCTCAACACTGGCTAGTCCCTGTAGAGCTGTGTTTTATGACTGAATTACCAGATTATCCATGGCAGATGCTGGGTGCTGATTTATTGACCTAGAAAGGCTCTGATTACCTTGTTGTTATTGACTATTACTCTCTTTACTTGGAAATGGCAGTTATAGAGCACATAACTGGGAGAGTTATAATGGTGTTGAAGAGTACATCCACGTGCCACGGCATACCATCAGTTTTAAGAACAGATAATGGTTCACAATTTTCTGGAGCTGCATATAAGCAATTTGCAGCCCAGTAAGACTTTCAGCATATCAGCAGCAATTCACATGGCCCATGTAGCAATGGGGGAGCAGAATGTGCAGTGCAGACTATGAAGGATTTGCTTCAGAAGAATGAAGTTCTCTATAAAGCTGATATCCTGTTCAGCAACATTAGAGCATGGATGAAGGCCAGCTGAGTTG